CCTCTCCTGACATCTCCATGCACCAGGCATGCATGAAGACATATATCCAGACATATCCAGGCAAAACACACATATACATAAAATAAATAGATAAAACTTTAGAATAATAATAGTAAGGGGCTGGAGATATGGCTCAGTGGTTAAGAGCACTGATTGCTCTTCCAGAGGACCTGGGTTCAATTCACAGCACCCACATGGCAGCTCACAACTATCTGAAAATGCAGTTCAAGGGGACTCTGACACCTTCACACCAATGCACATAAAATAAAGTTAAATAAATTATTTAAAAAATAATAATAATAGGGCTGGAGAGATGACTCAGAGGTTAAGAGTATTGCCTGCTCTTCCAAAGGTCCTGAGCTCAAGTCCCAGCAACCACATGGTGGCTCATAACCATCTGTAATGGGGTCTGGTGCCCTCTTCTGGCCTGCAGGCATACATGCAGAGAGAATATTATATACATAATAAATAAATAAATTTAAAAATAATAATAATAATAGTAAACCTTTAAAACGATTTTACAAAACTATTTAATGTTTTACCAGAAAGAAATAGCCTTCCCTTGATGGACCTCATCAGAGCCCTGCTACCCCCACCTTCGTCCCTTTTGTCTACAGCTTGTCTGGTGTCACGAGTGTGCCATGTCAGAAACACAGATGGCCACACTTGTGCATTCTACAGTGTCAGAGTTTATTGGCTAAAAAGGAACTCATAAACTAGGTCGGCTGCTGTAGCTGCAGTTGGCCAAATAGTCCTGATTCCTCTTGATAGTTGGCCATTGACAAACACAGGGCTTTCTGTTCGTGTCTGAATTACTAATATTAATCTCAGATCACAGATTATACATCCCACGGTAATTATATCTAGACACAACTAGGTTATAGAACGGCTGCAGGAGGGATAAAAGAGGCTGCATCCGAGTTCAAGGAGTTCAGAGATGTCTTACTAGGGGAAGAGGCAGAAAGCTGGTAAGAAGGCAAAGAGAATCTCTAAGTCGGAGGGCAGCGGGTGAAGAGCGTTAGAGGCTGCTGGGGCACCACCAAGCCCAGGGTGACACTTGAACCCAGCCCTAGGGTTGAGCAGACCTGCGGAGGAAAGATGCAGGGCCAGGTTGAATGGGTGATAGGGAGATGGTTATCAGAGTCAGCAATGGGGACCGCACTGCACTGGGACACTTCAGAGTTGCTTGCCGGGTGGTTCCTCGACCCACTGGGGGTTCAGATGATGGGTCAAGTGGGGCTCTTGCTGTGGTGGTGATTTCTGCATGTGAGCCAGAGGAAGGTGTACCACCGTTCCTTAATTTTCACTAATGTGGGCCCTTGTTTTTCTGATAAGGGTCTAACACATCTGTGTGTCCATTTGGCACCTTCGTATTTGAGAGGCATATGTATCAGTGTGTGCTTCATGGGTACTGCTGGACAGGTAGGGGCATCTACCTGCACAGGGAAGTGCTCAAAATGAAGCCAAATTCTGATTTGTAAAATGAAAGAACCCAAGGCAAGGCACAGCCTAGAAGTCTTACAATTATGGAGTGACTTGGAACTGCCTGATATCAGAACCTTCCCTGTGTCATTTCAGAGTCTCAGGAGGCTGGTTGTGACACACATCCCCTTTCCTTTCCTTTAACTACCATTGTTTACACTTCTAAAATGAATGTGTTACGGAGGACGAAGGGGGTGAGGCCTAATCTGATAAGGCATGTTTCTACCCTGCAGGTTTGCAGGCCAAGGGGTCAAAGTGTTTTAAAGACAAAGACTTTTGCCTGATGCTGGAATTGTCCACCCAGCACAACCACCAACACTCTGAGACCATTCTTAGAAAATGGGATTTTATATATATAGTTTTTTAAAAAATATTTATTTATTATGTATACAATATTTTGTCTGTGTGTCTGTCTGCAGGCCAGAAGAGGGCATCAGATATCAGTTCAGATGGTTGTGAACCACCATGTGGTTGCTGGGAATTGAACTCAGGACCCATGGAAGAGCAGGCAATGCTCTTAACCTCTGAGCCATCTCTCCAGCCCCCTATATATAGTTTTTTTGAGACTGAGTTTCTCTGTAGCTTTGGAGCCTGTCCCGGAACTAGCTCTTGCAAACCAGAGATCTGTCTGCCTCTGCCTCCCAAGGGCTGGGATTAAAGGTGTGTGCCACCACCGCCCGGCTGAAAATGGGAATTCTTACACTTTGCGATGGAGATGCTTACTCCAACTTCCCCAAACCTAGAGTTGAATAAAACTATTTTCTCCTCCAACTTCTATCTCCAGGTTTGCAAAGGTAGAGGCTACACGGTGGCTTGAATGCCAATAGCCCCCATAGACTCGTACATTTGAATACTGGTCCCCAGCTGGTGTAACTATTTGGGAAGGATTAGCTGTGACCTTGTCAAAGGGGTGTCACCAGGGTTGTGGGGTTTCTGAAGACAGAGGCCACGGGGAGCTAATTCTCTCTGCTTCCTGCTTGTGGAGCAGGGGAGGACAGATGCAAATTGAGAGCCTGAGGCCAGCCTGGGCAATACAAGTGTGAAACAAAACAAAAAGAGAAAACACGTGAGGTGAAGAAATGTGAGTTCTAGGTCAACGAGGTTCTCATAGAAAGTCTGGCTCCAAAGAATAAGAACATTAACACTAGTTATTTACAGACTTCCTGCACAGTTCTGCTGGCTGCACTGAAGCTCAGCTTCCTATCACACTTCCCTCTTCGGAATTTCTCAAACACCGACGAGACGCGTGAGGAAATCATTTGGCCAGCAAGGTGGAATCCCAGCGTTTACGTGGCTCACAGGTTCAAAGTGAGCTTGGGCTACAAGTGTGAAACCCTGTCCATAAACAAGAATTATCATTTGCTTTGGGTGTGTGGTGAGAGAGGGGGGTTTCTCAGTGTAGTCCTGGCTGTCCTGGGACTTGATCTGTAGATCAGGCTGGCCTTGAACTCAAAGATCTGCCTGCTTCTGCCTCCCAAGTGCTGGGACTAACGGTGTGCCCTACCATGTCCATCTCCAAACCCAGGAATTATCAAATAGAATCTTTAGAGAGAGAAGTTGCTGGATTCTCCACTGACAGACTTCAGTATGCCTTTCTCAACCCATAGGCGAAGCAAACAGAAAACTAAAAGACCGTAGAGTGTCTCGTGCCTTTAATCCCAGCACTTAGGAGGCAGGGGCAGGCGATCTCTGTGAGTTCAAAGCCAGCCTGGTCCACAGAGCAAGTTCCAGTACAGCTAGGGTGAGCTACAGTTCACTCATAAACACGATGCAACCTGTTCAGCATTGGTTGTGCAGGCCTCTAAGGCTGGAAATTGGCCTCGATGTAGTTGTTTTATAAATTTTATATATTGTCCTATAAATAAATAAAAAGAAAATTCTGCATGGGCTTGGATCTTCACTAAATCAATGCTCTGCAGATGTGAGCGAAAACAGGCAGCACTTGGCTGGGTAGGAGACACCTCCAGGTGGCTTTTCAGGTGACAACCCTGAGGGTCTTCTTGGGGAGTGTTGAGGATCCCCACATCATTCTGCAAGGAATGGCCAGCTCCCCCACTCAGCAGGTCACACACACAAAGCCCTTGAAGCATCAACACAGAGGCCTGAGGCAGAGCAAGAGCCTCTACCTTCGCTGTGGCTAAGCAGGTGAACTAAGGTGGATAGATGGTGAACCTCTTGGATCCCCTACCTCTGCGTCCTGCTGCAGCCCTGGCCCAAACCTTCCAACCTCAGAGCAGAAGCCCTGGAAGGACGTGCTGGTCATCTCCCAGGCGTCAGATCCGTGTGCCGGGCTCCACAGGCGGGGGTGTCCATCTGCAGAGTCCTTCTCCCGGTCCAGCATCACATAGATCCTCAGAGTACCGGAGACAGTGAATGACGGGCAGGACCTGCTCAGGGAGCCGGCTAGTGATCTAGGGAAACCCGAGTTCGGGTGGTTTCCTAGCAGGTCTCCTCAGGGTGGGGGAGGATACACCACTCCCGGGGGGGGGGGGGCTCCTCCTCTCTAACCTCTTCTAGTGTCATCCCTTGCTGTGCCCTCAAGCCTCACTTTCCTAACCCACAGTGAAGTGATGAGCATTCAAAGGCAAGGGCTGGGTGCAGCCACCAGGGGGCAGCGCAGAAGTTGCCAGAACACCAAGGAGCCTCACACCAAGAAAATTTCACAGCTCCTTGCTCTTGAGCATGTGCAGATGGAGTTGAACCCGGGACACCGAAGGCTATAGGGACCTCTCCCACGTGTAACTGTGACACCCAGACAGCTCCACTCTCAAGGAAAGGAGGTCTCTGCTTCCAGCCCAGCACAGGCAGGCAGGGGCCTCGATGCCTTTGGCCATCCCAGGGGTCCAGCCAAGAGCCTGAGCTACTCCCCACTTCACCCCACTGGGCCTCACGCAAGCTTGCTGTTTCCGGCAAACAGAAGCCTCAAGGCCCTGTTCACTTTCACTGCTGCCATTGTTTGCTATGAACTCAGGGGCTGTCACTCCAGAGCTGTGACAGGAAGGGGCCAGGTGAAGGAGTGAGTCCCTCAGCACTCGGACAGACTCTAGTGACCCTTTCTAGGGAAGCCTGAGCTTGGGTGGTTTTGCAGCAGGTCTCCCCAGGGTGGGTGGGGACACATCACCCCCCTAGAGACTTCTCCTCTCTGACTTCTTCTGGTGAACATGACCCTGAACCTGTAGGTGATTCCTAGGTCATTCTGAATGCCTCTCTGGAGCAAACAGAGCTGGGTCTCCCCTTAATCCACGTTCAGCCAAGTTCTTGATCCACGACACTTTTTTTTTTTCCACGCTTACTTGTCAGATGAGATCCACAACATTTTTTAAAATTTATTTTTATTTATTTGTTTGTTTGTTAGGTTGGTTGGTTGGTTGGTTTCTCTGTGTAGCTTTGGAGCCTACCCTGGAACTCACTTTGTAGACCAGGCTGACTTTGAACTCAGAGATCCACCTGCCTCTGCCTCCCAAGTGCCGGGATTAAGGTGTGAGCCACCACCACCCAGCGATCCGCAACATTTGAGGGGTTCCACTGGATCCACTCACTGGCTTGTAGATAGATATCTATCCACCCTACTTACTAGCCTCTCATGAGGGCCTAGACAGCATTCCCCTGCCTTGCGGCCTCTAAGTTAAAGAGGCATTCAAGGGATGACGGGGTGTTTGCTGGAAACGTGGGGACCAGGTTCCCACTCCAGCCACTCACCCTCTGAGATAATCTGTACAGCAGTGCGCTCATCCACTTCCCCGGGCTATGGGAGGTGCTATCACATGTTCTGAAACTTGATGGACATAGTGGGAACTGAAGAGAGGGCACCAGACTACAGGAAGGCGGCTGCTTTCCTGGTGACCCTAGAGAATCTCAAGGCTCAGGGGTGGAAGAGGAAGTGAGGGGCTCAGAGCTCAACCTCCCTAGCTTTGGGAGTGAAAACAGCTTGGAGGCCACAAAACACCTGACATTCTTCCTGTTTTCTTCAACAGGTCAAAAACCTGGGACCACTGGCTAGGGTCCAGCACTTGCAGGCTTGTGCTGCAAGAGGTTGACCTTAGCTACCACCTGCTTGCAGCCAGTGACGGCAAATTCATGTCCAGCGACTTGGTAGTAGCTGAGCTGCTCTGCCAGACGCTCTGCCAGCGCTTGCTCGGGGAAAAAGCCCTCCCCTGCCATCTCCTCTCGGAAGCAGTTGACCACATCTGGCTTGTCTAGTAGCAGGAAGGGCACGATGGCCGCAGTGTTCCACAGAGGGTGTTCCTGGGCCAGGAGCTCCCGGAGGCTGGAGTGTAACTCCTCCTCAGTCTGAGTGTTGCCTGCGCTGTGGAGGTGTGGGGGCAACAAACGCGATGCGTTCCGCAGCACAAACTGTGTGATCTCTATACCACCTGTGCCACTTAGGAGTACATAGATAGCGTTGTGGAAATGGTGCGAGCGCTGTGGCTGCAGGAGACCGTGCAGCTCATCCAGCAGCGCAGGTGGCAAGAGTTCAGCCTCATCCAGGACCAAGAGAGGGGTCTTCTCCTCGGCCTCAGCTTGCGCCACCACATCCGCCACACGCTGTGCCAGCTCCTTCCGGCAGTCCTGAACCGGGCGCAGCTCTGGGCAGTGATGTCGTGCATGGTACTGCAGCACCAACGCGCCATCTTCCAGCACTGCCTGGAAGTGGCGTGCCAGCAGGCGCCCCACGTGACTCTTGCCTACACCACTGGGCCCATGCAGAGCCAGGAGCAAGGGATGACTGTGAACGTGTGTAGCCAGGTAGTCCCGCAGCAGGGCCATGATGCGGCCCACAGCAGCTGGCTGACCAAACACAGAACGCCGCAGCGCCTTCTCCAGTCCATCGAGGTCATAACGTTGTGCATTATCGTCCAGATTCTCGATGGCGTTAAGAACCTGGAATCCCACGATGGCTACAAGCAGCAGCAGACAACGCTGTGCACGGCTCTGGCGCTCTGTGCGGGGTCGGTACTTCCGTGAGGTTTCGGGGTAGAGCACTACCCGACTACGCCGCCTACGCTTCTTGCGGGGTGTCCTGGAAGACAACTCAGTCAGGCTGTCAAACGTGAAGAATTTAGGTTGGCCTAGGTCCGCACGCAGAGCCCCGGAACTGCCGCTGGACCCGAGTGCCCCTGTCCCAGTGTCCGGTTCGGTGCCTAGCTGCAACAGGCGCCTCTTGCGCAGGACGCAGACGCGGCGGCGCAGACGGAGCACGGCGCGCACCGGCGCGATCACGCATGGGCCCTTGGCCTGGGGCTCTAGGCTAGGTTGGCCGCGATCCATGGCGTAGGAGCTGTACTGGGCATGCAGGTCCCCTTCCTGCAATAGGAAAATGGGAGGATCTCCTGAGTCCCTGATCTCAGCCTCTGGGGGTCGCTTAAGGTCCTTTACCGCCAGATACTGGCTCCGGTCTCGCCGCGCCCGGGTGACCAGGAAGCCACTGCTCAGCAGGAGGGCCCCAATGCATGCAAATCTCTTGAGTCCTCCCAGAAAGGCCCAGGCCTTGAGGAAGTGAGGGGGTGGGGTAGGGGTGTTGTATACTTTATCAGGCTGCTGACTTCCCTCTTGAAGGAAGAAGCAGAGGATTCGAGGTCACATCACCAACGATTAGGGGTGTAGACCGGTCAAAGTGGACCCTGCACCACCCCCCAGGCACCTATGAGACTGTCAAAGACCTTCTAGGTTCCAAGTAGGCCCCTTGGACCAGAGGACTCAGTACCTCGATGAGCTGAGACTGTCCCCATACTCAGGGACAGTTGGTGGAAAGGAATGTGCAGAACAAACTTTCATGTTTTTGAAAATGGACCCTAGCACTGCCCTAAGTCACAACCTAAGCCTTTTGACCCCACTCCCACCCCCAGCCCCGACTCATGCCCAAATTTGAGGTCCCTCAACATCCTCCCAGTAAACACAACAGAGCAGAAAAATGAAGAGAAAAAAAATAAATAAAAAGCCGGCGAAAGGTTACAGCCCTGACAATGAAAAGGCTGGCCTGGACCTCTCCATCTCAGCCCCTACCTGCAGCTGCTCAGACTCCCCAGCTCAGTCACTCCCTTCCAAGGCCAGGAAGCAGGAAATGCTAGTCTTTCCCCCAACAAAAGGTGAGGTGGGTGGGTCAGGGTCCGCCTGGCCCAGCTCAGGCTTGAAAGGGGCAGTGACTCCTACAGGTCCCCAGGGACCGAAGCAGAGGAAGCTCTGGGGAGGTTTCCGCTGAGATGCAAAGGAAGTGAGTCAGGGGTGCTGGCAGGCGGAGCGTGAGCTGAGTGGAGGAGCCGGTGGGGGAGGCCTGACTGACCGGCCTAGAACCCCTATCTGCACTTCATCCGCTCTTCGGTCTTGTGGCTCTGCCAGGTAGCATAGGGAGGGAGGGGCCTTTCCAATAACTCCCCCTGGGCTCCTGGGCATTCAGTCTGCCCTCTACTGATCCTGCCTCTGCCCTAACAAAACTAAGGGACCCCAGAGACCCTAGGGAGGCTCTCAGCTGACGGTGAGCAAGTAGAAGCAGGTCATTCGTTCAGCTGGGTGCCTCCTAATCCCTTTTCTGCTTTTCCTTTCTGCTTGGATTCCTTCCCCTACCCTATCACCTCCCCACCACCCCTTTGCCCATTCGACTGGACCTCTCATAAGACAAAACAGGAGAAACAGAAGTTCTAGAGCTAAGGATAGAACCCCACTCGTGGCTCAGGGTCCTTGTGAAGAGGGAGGAGCACATTTAGAAATGTCCTTAGGCCAAGAATTGGAAGAGAAACTCTAGACTTCATGGCAACCTGCTTGCCTGTAACCCTGCCCACCTTCCTGCCCATTTCTGCAGGAAGGGGCCTGCCTGGATGGCTCCAGACTCCTCCCATTCTGGTTGTTTCCTAGGCCAGCCTGGAATTCCTGATCTTTCCAGAACTTTCACAAAGTTCCAAGAGTGGCCAGGGTGGACAAGTGTGTGTTCAGACACCGCTAGACAATTCAGCCTCACCCATGATCCAAACCCATCCGCACTTCACGGACCGCATGAAATAGCCTTGCGGGTGGCTGACTGCCCAGGCCCTGGAGGAGGGACTCCCAGAATCCTCCCCTCTCCTGTCTGTAAGACTTTTCTGACTCAGAAAGGACACTGGGCCCTGAGGCAGATGACCAGGCCCTGAGAGAAACAGACAAGGTAATCTCCAAGTGGGCCTAACATTGGTCAGTCACTTTTGCAAGAGGCTGATCTGTCAAACTCTCTGAGGTGGAGCCCCATTCTGGGGTGAGGAAAAGACCTACTAAAGAGAAGTGACTGTCCAGGTAACTCATGTCCAGGGTTGATCTTTGCAAGGGTAAGGCCTTCATAGGCAGAAGATCAGCAAGCCCAACTGCCCACTCTCTTGTCCAACCCAATTGTAAACCTGGTGGTGGTGGCACACGCCTTTAATCCCAGCACTCGGGAGGCAGAGACAGGCGGATCTCTGTGAGTTCGAGGCCAGCCTGGGCTACAAAAGCTAGTTCCAGGACAGGCTCCAAAGCTACAGACAAACCCTGTCTCAACCCTCCCACTCAAAAGAAAAAGTAACAACCCACCCAATTGTAAAGTCCATCCTCACTAGTCCCAACCCAGAACCCCTTCCCCTCCACAGTTCTTTTTGCTGTTGTTGTTTGGGTTTTTGAGACAGGGTTTCTCTGTGTAGCCCTGGCTATCCTGGAACCTCTCTCTCTGTAGACCAGGCTGGTCTCAAACTCACAAAGATTGCCTGCCTCTGTGCTGGGATTAAAGGTGTGTATCTTTCCCCACCTCTGGGCCCACACTAGCAGAGTCTAGCCACGCAGACCATATTGCCTGTCCTGAACCTCAGTCTCTAGCAGGCTCTGCCCAATGACCTTACCAAGCACACAGTCCACTCTCCATGGCCCCGCCCTTTCCTGCTTAGGCCTTTGTGTCTGGAAATACAGCCAGCCCTTTCTGAAATGTCTGTGCTGTGTAAGGAACAGCTGTCTGGATACAACACCCCATGAATCCCCAGTACCATAAACATTTTACCGCTGGATCATCACTGTCACCCCAGAGCCATGTTTTCCCACCTTTCATCTCAGGGAATGGGGAACAGAGATTGGTGGCTCTGAGTACGAGGCCAGCCTGGTCTACACCGCAAGTTCCAGGACAGTCCGGGCTATAGAGAGACCCTGACTCAAAAAAAACAAATAATGAGCCAGGTGGTGGTGGAAGCAGCGCACACCTCTAATCCCAGCACTTGGGAGGCAGCGGCAAGAGGATCTCTGGGAGTTCGAGGCCAGCCTGGTATACAGAATGACAGCCAGGGCTAGGTGGAGAAATTCTGCCTAGGAGAAAAAACATAACAAAAACAAATACTAAATGAAAGACTCCAGCAGCACTTTCCCCGACTGAAGGACTCATGAGATCTATGACTCATGATCTCTACTAAGCTGGAAACTTAGCAGTGTTCCTGTGGTCCCACAGTGATGTGGCTGTGGTGTACCTCCAAGATAGGTGGTTAGGATCAAATGAGATTATAGGACTGGCACCCTCAGTCCATCCCATGACTTTATAAACACACACCCCCTCTCCCTGTCGCTATGAGGTACTCTTTGCCTCAGGCCTCTGCCGGAAGAATGACTATCGTTAAATGCACCCTAGACACACACAAACATACACACACACAAACACCCAATCACTATGAAAGGTATGCTTTGCCTCAGGCCTCTGCCAGGATGGCTATTGTCAAATGCACTCTGGATACACACAAACACATACACAATCACTATGAGGTACCCTTTGCCTCAGGCCTCTGCCGGAAGGATGGCTATCATCAAATGCACCCTGGACTTTTGGACCAAATCCTTGAGCCAAAATAAACACATTTTCTTTATGACTCATACAGCCTATAGTGTTACAACAGAAGACTGAACTAATACAATGCCATCCCCCTTAGCTCAGCTTCAGGGACATACGTGACTGCCTGTCCCCTCCTCCACCCGGTGACAAACCAGACTCAGCCAGGAAAACATACCACTCATTCACAACTGGGAAAAGCTAGGCATAGACTGGGTGCCTTGCAACTACCTGCACCTGCCTGACCCCATCACAGCCGGGAGCTTTGGTCATGCCTCAGATAGCTGCCTTGCTCAGCCACCATCTGGTGTTTCATGTCCTGTGGGAGCAGTAATGCCCAGTCCCAGCTGGACTTTTCCTAGCCACCCAGGGGATAACTAAGCTGCCACATGGCTGTGTTCAGTCTGACGTTCAGGATCACTCCATGACCTAGGGCTTGTGCTTGATCCTCCTAGGGATTCCTATCACTCCTTTTGAAAGGAGTGAAAAACTGCACACCTAGATATTGGGGCAGAGATCAAAGCACTCTGGGAGGCTGAGATCTTTCAGCAGCTGGGCCCTAAACCAGGTCTCTCAGGGCAAGGTTGCCAGGCACAGAAGTCAAAGAACTGACTTTCCAGAAGAATGTTATACCCTCTAGGTGTGGTGGCACACACCTTTAGTCCCAAGCAGAGGGATCTCTGTGAGTTCAAGGCTAGCCTAGTCTATAAGTTCCAGAACTGTCAGAGACACCCTATCTCAAACAAGGAAAAAAAAAAGAAAGAATGTTGCATCCACGCCATACCTCAGCCCCAGGACAAACAGAATCCTCTCACCACGGTTTATCAAAATGTGTTTTATTTACATAAGTGGAAACTTCAGTGTGTACACCCAGTCCCCTACTCAAGGGCCAAGACACAAAGCCGGGCAAGGACCTGTTTTCTGTGCCAAAGGTTTGTACACTGAGGTGGGAGCTGCAGAGAGGGCTCTGCCACAGATCTCAGTCAGCAGGGGACTGTGCACAGACACTAGCAGGCTCTGGCCTCTGCCTGCAGCAGACTTCCCACCTGGCTTCTGGTGGGGGTACCACTCCTGTGCTTGACATATCAGGCCCAGCAAATCTGCTTTGGCAAACCCAGTACACCTTTCTCCTTGGGCTTTGTCCAGACTGAATATTAGGTCAGTCAGGCCTCTGCCATTGCCCTTGGAAAACTAACTGGCTTTTTCTTAATACCAACCACCATCCATCTCTGCCAGGATCAAGTAGGGGCCAAGCCCCACCAAGCAATTATGGGCCCCACTGGTGTGTGAGTAGATCACCGAGGACGTCTTGGGACCAGCTCCAGACAGCAGCTAAGAGGAGGGAGTACCTTGCCAAGGTACTCAGCAAGTACTTGTAGTACTCAAGTACTCAAGTGCTCAGCTCACCCTGCACTCCTAGCTGACTAGGACCTCCTTCCATAGGGCACTACCACTAAATAGTTCCAGAGGGCCTCACAGTGGAGCTGGAGCAGGCACATTGGGAAGGGGCAACTCCAGGGCTGGTGTCTCTGCAGCTTGGGTAGGACTGGGTTTCCGATGGTCCAACTGCTCCAACTTCTCACCAAGCTGGGAGTAGAGCTCCTTCACAGCTTCCCCACTCTGCAAAAACCAGACAAGTGGTGGTTTGAAAGAAAATGGCTCCCTGCGGGAGTGTCACCATTAGGAAGTGCGGCTTTGTTGGAGTAGGTGTGACGCCATAGGGGTGGGCTTTGAGGTCTCATTTATACTCAAGCCACACCCAGTGAGACAGACTACAGATCCTGCAGGTCAAGATGTAGGACACTTGGCTAATTCTCCTGCACCATATTTGCCAGACACCACCAGTTGACCATGATAATACACTAAACCTCTGAAAATGTGCCAGATAGTGGTGTTGCACACCTTTAATCCCAGCACTCGGGGGCAGAGGCAGGAGGGTCTTTGTGAGTTCGAGGTCAGCCTGGTCTTCAGAGTGAGTTCCAGGATAGCCAGGTCTGCTACACAGAAAACCCTTTTCTTGGAAAACAAAACAAAAAAAATAAAACCTCTAAAAATGATGTCAGCCACCCCAATTAAATATTTTTCCTTTTAAGAGTTGCCATGGTCATGGAGTCTCTTTACAACAATAGAAACCCTAACTAAGACAGCCATGCAAGGGGGCTGAAGAGAGATGGATGGCTCAGAGGTTAAGAGCACTAACTGCTCTCCAGAGGATCAGGGTTCAATTCCCAGCACCCATATGGCAGTTCACAATTATCTGCACTCCAATTCCAGGGGACCTGACACCCATGGCAAAACACTTATGCACATTAAAAAAAAAAAAAAGAGGACAGGCATGCAATAGGGCAGGTAGTCTGAGCCTACTTGGAGGAGTGAACCTATAGGCAAGATCAACCATTAAGAACA